TTTGGGTCTGATGCAAGGGAGACTAGAGAAAGAAACTACAAGAAACTCAGAACAGGCAAAGCTCAGGAATCCAACCTGGTTACAAACCTCCTGTGTCATTGGCTGTGGTTGATATTCCCATTTCACTAGAGCATAAACAGGGGTGGGTTCTAGCCGTGTTATTTCCTAGAGCCAGGAAATAGGAAAATGCAGCGATCCTTCTAAATGCCAGTCCTCCCTGCAAGCTATTTTAAGGTCCATTCCAAAGCCAAGGCTATCTTAAACAGATGGCTTGTCTCGCCACTGGACACAAGTGCAGAAAACTTTCAAAACTAGGTGCTGAGTGATGGGGTAAGTTCTTGTGTGAAGTACTGGGCTGAATTTACTTAGACATTCTCATTGCCAGAACTTGGTCTCACCGAGTCTTGGTGAAAGTGAACCCATAGGATACAAGGATTAACTAGAGGTGGACAGAAATGCTCCCACGGAAGCCTACATCATCACCACCATCCTCAACCTTGCTTTCTAGGAAGACCTCTGACTTACCAGTCAAGGGGTAGTCTGGGCCTATCTCCTGCTAAAATGTTGTGAAACCACAATGTCTCTCGACTCCAAATCTAGTCATTTGACCACATTCTTCAAAATAGTTTCTTCAGATCCAGTTTTCACATGTTTACCACACAAATGAATCTATCTGAATTCTATGTGCATTTGACATGTTCATACAGTATTTAACATCAGCCACAACTCTGGTGGTCGGTTCTCATCAGTTCGTTAAATCACTGTTTATCTTCTTGTGTGCCAGGTCCTGGGTGAAGATAGATTAAGTCCCTGCTCTTAAAAAGCACTTCAGGGGCCTCCCTGGTGGCGCAAGGGGTTAAGACACAACCTATAAAGCTAACCGCAGCCACTGCAGCACAAGTTCAATCCCCAGCCAGGCAGCAACCCACATGGCGCAGCAGACCTCTCCTGACTCACCCGCTGCTCCCCTGAGCAGTGTATTTCAGTCAGTCTGCCTGTTCTGTTACCCACTCTGTCTCTGGTGAATCCTCTCACCCCCACCCCTGCACCTCTGGCCTGTACCCCAGTTCTTGTATGCTTAAATAAATGAATCTTTAAAAAAAAAAAAACAAAAGCACTTCAGATCTATTGGGGAAGATGAGCTATAGCAAATAAGGCAAAATATAAATTCTAGCTTATCAGTACTCTAAAGGAAATCAATGAGATGAGGTGGTTAAAAACCTCTCAGTAATACTTAGGCTGAGACCCAAAGATGGGAGGGAGTGTCAGCCATACATAGTTATATTCCAGGCAAAAGATGTGATGTGAAATAAGCCTAGGTGACAGGCTAGGGGCGAGCCAGGGGTAAGAGTGGCAGGAAATGAGGGTGAAAACAAGCAAATGCTTGACTGTGACTTGGCCCATCAGAGGCAGATAGGTAGCCATCAAAGACTTTATCTTTTTTTTAAAAGATTTATTTATTTATGCATACAAGAACTGAGGTATAGGCCAGAGGTGTGGAGGATGAGAGGATTCACCAGAGACAGAGTGGGTAACAGAATAGACAGACTGATAGAAATACACCACTGAGGGGAGCAGCGGGTGAGACAGGAGATGTCTGTCGCGCCATGTGGGTATCTCCCTGGCAAGCCAGGGATCAAACCTACGCTGCAGAGGCTGTGGACAGCTTCACAGCGCTGCACTCAACCCCCTGCACCACCAGGGAGGCCCATCAGACTTTTTCTTAAGGTATTATTTAGGTACTTTTAAAGTGCATCTATTTCAAGTGTGCTCAGAATTATTTGACAAACGATTATACTTATGTAAACACCTTTCTCAGGCAACTTCCTCATACCCCTTACTGTCCCAAGCTGCCATAAACCCGCTGGCATTAAAATGGAATCAAGGTATGTGTTCCTGTCTACTTTTGCTAACGTTTTTGAGATTCATCCTCATCCGTGGTTGCTTTGATCAGTAGTTGCTCAATTTTATTGTAAGTATTCAACCAGTGTGGATGTACTGATGTGTTAGTGCAGGGGCTAAGTAAAGAATGAGGTGGGGTGGGTGCAAGAGCTAGGAAGTCATGAGGAGGCTGTTCCAGTGCAGGCAAAAATCCCAGCAGTTTGGGCCACGTGACTCTGTGCTCGTTAGTGTTGGAGTCACTTCTGTTTTAGGATAGCAAGCTCACCATTATCTGAGCAGATTCTTGTAAAACCCCTGGTTGTCTTAAGGAGAGCTGAAAATGTATGTGAACTACTAGCCCACAGGAATATAAGCCCTGCAGTGCTGTTGACTGTTTTGCTGACTAATCCTAAGTACTTAGAACTTTGAGACACAGTATGTATTTAAATATTTAGGTTCTTTCTATCCCCTTTCCAAGTGTGAAATCACAATCTGATGCTTGTTTTTCAGCATCACAATCTGATGCTTGTTTTTCACATCTTTTCAATCAAAACTCTCCCGTTAAGAGTCTGTAGAATACAGATATTTGAGAGACAAAAGTGGGACCACCTCCAGCCTAAGAATATAATACAAAGGCATTCTCCAGTCTTCAATAAGATCAAGCAGTTTAGTAAGAAAAGTAGACTGTTAGCAGTTGAGGCTCTAAAACCTTCTCCAAAACCAGCTCTTGGAACTTTCACAGCATTAACAGGATCTCTCTTGCCAAGTTCATGAGTCAGGAACAACTGGCTCTTTGGCGCTGGAAGGTAGCCTTAAAACTTTCTGAAATAATGTTGGCCCTTTATCTCCAGAGCCCAAACTACTTACTACTTTTGATTTATGAGGTTCTGTATAGATGACCCTCAACCTTTCTTGGGGCAATTTCAAACAAAAGCCTCTCGCTCTGAACAGTACCTCAGTAAGCAGGTAGTTGTCAGTAGCTCCCACAAGGTTTGTGATGTAGCACCTTAAACCTCATGCTGTCATTATTCATCATTTGCACAATCCAGTTGAGACTGGACTTTCTTTCTCTAGTTGAAGCTGAAGGTAACCGCTCGAGAAAATTCTCATCCATGACCTAAACCTTACCTAATGAAGTTATGAGAAGCTCCCTGAACTCAACCAGTAAGTTGAGTTCCCCCTCTTGTTTTTTAAGGAGTCTGATCTTATCTATAAAGTCAGTTAAATGACACCCCAGTATTAGTAGGGCTCCCACCCAGACTGGTCTCTAAATAAAAAAGAGCTCCTTGGGGAAATGGATCGTTCCACTTCAGATGAAGAAAATCAACAAGATGAATCTGGAACATTTTGTTGTTCTAAAAAGAAGCCAGCAGACCTCCCTGGTGGTGCACAGAACTGTGAAGCTGTCTGCAAGTCTCTGCACTGCGAGTTCGATCCCTGGCCAGCCAGGGAGCTACCCACATGGCGCAGCATTCCTCTCCTATCTCACCTGCTGATCCCCTCAGCAGTGTATTTCAGTCTGCCTGACTGTTCTGCTCCTCACTCTATGGTGAATCCTCTAATGCCCCCCCCCCCCACTTCTGGCCTGTACCCGTTCTTGGAGCTGTAATGGCATGAGCGAACTTGAAGGGAATTCGTGGACCAAAGATATAACCATGCAGTGGTCCAAAATGCACATAAAATCTGAATTGGTATTTACTTTCAGAGGTTGCTAGGACATCTGCCCATCATCCTGAAAACTGGTAAAGATTTTACACTCAAGCCAAACAAAATGCCTGCAGAATCATGAATGGTATTCCTAAGGTCTGTCTTATGAAAAACATAGCTATCCCATCAGTGAGTACTTTAAACAAAGTATTTACAGCTCCCTCTACTATAAATCCAGAAAAACTAGTGCTAGGAACAAAGGAAAAGTAATTGTTTTTTCCTTATTGGTCTTAGTCAACTTCAAAAGTGCTCTGGAGAAATAATTTTCAATGTTTTCCATAATATGCACCTTAATTGTATTTTCTATTAGCCATTAAACCAGAACTGACCAAGTACGGCTAATCTCACTTAACTTTGTACTGCTTCAAAGGTGATTTCAAAGTTTTTAAAGGATTTCCTAAGTCACAAACCTAGGAATAGTTCAAATTAGTATACTTGGTTGGCTGATGCTTTAAAATTAGCACTATTAGTGACTTGAGGGACGGGGAATTCAGCTCTCACTGGAATTTTTCTCAAAAGGTGCAACTCCTTTGTCTTGACAAGACAAGCTATAGGGCCAAGTGCTTTCCCTCAGAATGGAGTTTAGGTTTCCTGCTACATTCAAGTGCTCACCAGCAAAACCGAAGGCTTTATACCAAGCATCAAATACTCAAATATATAGACCTACATCTTGGGTTAAGATATTAAAAATCTAATAGACTACTTCTAAGTGATGCTCACTGACCACATTCCCTGTGTACATGCTGTAATGTGTGATGACATCTAGAGGACTGATCACACCTAAGGTAGCTGTTAGTGGAAGCTCTCTGACACTAATTGAAGACAAGGAACTTTACTTTTTAAAATGTCATATTTGGGATTGTCTTTTCACTGAAGCACATTCTTTAAAAGAGAAACTCAGGCCTCCCCGGGTGGCGCAGCAGTTGAGCGCTGGGCTGCGAAGCTGCCCGCAGCCTCTGCAGCACCCGTTCGATCCTCGGGCCCCGGGTGAGGGTCCCACATGGTGCACAGACCTCTCCTGCAGCGCCCGCTGCTCCCCTCAGCAGTGTATTTCGGTCGGCCCGTTCTGTTCCCCGCTCTGGTGAATTCTCACACACACACCCCCCCCACCCCCGTGCTTCTGACTGTACCCGGTGCTTATATAAATAAATAAATCTTCAGAAAAAAAATTAAAAAAAAAAATAAAAGAGAAACTGTTCAACACCTAGAACTGGGATTGGACAAGACAGTACTGCACCCAATCTTTTCCCTACTCTCCCAAAATGTTACCCCTCTGGAAAAATCACCCAAGAGATGGAAAGGCTAATGTGCAGACCCTCATTAAAATATCTGAACGATATAGCCTGGTGAACAGCACCACCATCCTAAGCCATACAGAGGTTGCAGGGAGGAGGGGGATATGAAAAGGATTAAACAAGGCATGAGATGGGATATTTATTTAGAAACTAAATGTACAAAAAAGCAAAAGAACAACTGCAAGGTAAAAATACAATGAAGACAAATTTTAAGACAGAAAACAAAGTCTCCTAAAGTTTAAACAAAATGGAATGAGGGAAACACTCAAGAAAAATCAAACAGGTCTAAGAATGCAGACCTGTTTGTAGGAGTCAGAGATCTCCCAATAAAATGGCTGGACAAGTCTCTGGAAAACCCACCCACACAGCCCAACTAGTGAGCTGGAGACAAGTAAAATTTCAAACACCAGGAACAAAGCAACCTGATTATCTCAGAAATACTGGCCACACACAAAATAATGAGATCAGACAAAAGTCAATTTAAAATTGAGAAAAAGATGCAGCCCAATAGGTAGCATTGATTTGTCAAAAACCGTTGTTTCCAGCTATACAAGGACATAAAAACACTTCCCTGATGAATTAGGAGACTACAGGATGTACTAAACAAGAGAAATAGAAATAGCATCATGTAATTCACAGTAACAAACACAAAGATACCTCAAATGATTCACCCTGAATGAATGTCTTCATGTAACCACCACATGCAATAAAAATTGACTTCTCTCCCATGATCTAAAATAAAATGCACCGGTTACAGACGAAGCTGGGTAAATTAAGAAAAGAAACAAGACAAAAATCACTTTCTGTTCTGGTTTAAGCGAAGACCCAAGGCTGAAGAAGGGTTTTGCAGCCTGGTTAATGTACCAGGCTTTGAGAATGAAAAGGCTAGGTGAAATGCGTAGATTGTCAGATGGAACATTCAGAAACATGTTTTTTTTGCAGTTATACCGTTTGTCACTTTTCAACTATGTGTTTATTTCTTTGACAAAGTATAAAGAGGAAAATAACAGAAAAAGAAACAGTACTACTTTATTAAAATACTGAGTTTATTTCACATGTATATTTTTGTCTCCCCACCATTTCCATTTGTCTGACCACCACTACTACTATGTCCTATCATAACATTCCATACATACTTAAAACCAAGTAAAGGGTGGAGTTCCATCTTTAAAAACTAAACAGGCATTTTGGACAACACATTCTTGGCAATGAAACCTGGACAACATTTATCAGACACGGTAGGGAAAGTTCTCACTCTGCATTATAAAAAGGACAGCCAGATATCAACTGTTACAGAAATGAAATAAGACGGAAAATTTTAACAAACTGAACTATTTTCTTAAAGAGACTTCCTCCACTGCCAAAGATCTTGAATAGCCTGGAGAAAAAAAAAGAAAAAAGATGTGGTCAAAGAAACAACACTTCATAGTCACCAATAAATTAAACCATGTCTTTCTCCACTACTCAGTATCTACTATTCATTCTACTACCAAAATGATTCACTCTGGATAATTAAGAACTAATTTCAAGGAATTTATGCTGATGATTTAATTTCAAATATATTTCAATTAAGACATAAAAATCATGTGACTCTTTGCAAGCATAATCAGTTATACCAACACACAATATACTTAACATTAAGGAAATTAAGAGGAAGGGCTGAAACTAATTTGGCCAATGTTGCCTCAAATATCGTCAACTCTAGGATGGCCAGATTTAGGAAAATAAAAACACCTAAGTTATGTTTCTAAGCCTATGCATATGTACATGGGACAAATGGAAAAGTTTTGGTTTTTTAGAATTATATGCATAAATACATCTCTATGATTCTATTTCCTGATGATGCGAGAGTTCAACAGTTCTTGTTTTACAGACTTTGCTTGTAAAATTCCTAAAAGTCTGTGTTCCACTGAATTTACACTTTAACAGTATAAAATTATTTTGCTTGTCCACTGAACATTCATTAATGGAAATATGCTTAATATTAGCACGGGACTACATTGAACATGTTTAACACCACATTGGTTTATTAAAAGCATTTAACACCATTTTCACAACATAACTTGCTTTTCTACTCCAGAGAATTCCTAATTATTTATAATGTCTACTGACAAAGACAAAGGTAATCTCTACAATATGATGGGTTCTACCACCTTTTCCCATGCTTGTATTTAGTAACCATGTAAAAGGAATCAAATCTTCAATGAACAAAAATTTCCCGTATCAAGGAAAGTATAACTAATTAATCTACTTCAACTTGGAGCTTCTTTCCCTTTCCTTATGTTCTCTTTATATTTTCTGATACCTAATTCAAGTTCCTCTAAAACAATGGGAGTGCCTCAATGAGCTTGATCTTCAAATTTACATAATCCTGCTCAAGACATTTAAAATCATGAACAGAGGTGAGCATTTTAAATGGATTATTAAAAACATCACCAATAACTTTTGGGGGACTTTTCTTCAGAAGTATATTTTCAGGGTTCAATTAGGATTATCTCAACTACTATTATCAAGTAACTGCCACTGGGTTTCAAATGGAAGGAAACTAAATACCAAATGTCACAATTCCTCTCTAATCAAGTTCAACACAAATGAACAATTTTCATCACACCCCAATGGCAAAGGAAATGTCAGATACCATTTGATCAGTATTATATACAATGAGGACAGCAAAAACCTACAGTATCACTCAAGCTTTCCTTCAACACCACATTCACCAAATTTCTAATCTGTATATGTGGTCTCTTCACAAAATGCACTAAGTACTATTTTTCTCAGTGACTCTTAACTCCAAGAGATTCTGCAAAAACTTGCTATTACTAAGTCCCATCTGGAAGGGATTTTACTAGCCAAATCCTCTTAAGTATTTTTCACACACACATGCACAAAAAATGGAATTTTGTACTGTGATTTCTTGCATTTGTGATGATGCCATAAAAACACAAGGTATTTTAGAGTTGATTATCTCGAACAGTAAATTGAGCTGTCACTTTTATTACTGCAGAATCTTCATCCTGGCACCTGCTTTGTAATAAAATACTACTTCTGGTTAACATTTAAAGTCCAGTCATTTCAGCTACAAGACTGAACAAAACTACTGTGTGGCAGGTCCTTGCAACTTCATTTATTTTATCTAGAGCTAAATATTTCTTAATTAAAATCTTACCACTTTCTCTGGTTTTAGTCTAAGAAAGTATATTATATCTAAGCTTACCTGCTAGTAACCTATTTCTACAATCTTTCTACCATTTTCAATACTGAACTATCATACTGCAGTTTCTAAAGAACTTGTTTATTAATCAATGCCCACAATTCAGGAAATTAACAATTAACATTTGCTTTTGGGGGTCCAAATATACAGTCTACAGAGCCAATAAAATTGAATTTGATCACCCTTTATGTCAATCAAGACCAGCTAAATACATAAACAGTTGAACCCAGGAAACAATTTCAAATCTGAAAAAAAAAGCACTGCCACTTAAGAGATTTAAATACTACATGTACTAAATGCTATGATGGTAGAGATGAGTTCTAACTAAAATTTTTTATTGAAAAAAGCTGAATACGAAACGGCCTCCCTACTGGCACAGGGGTAAAGAAAGAGATACCAGTCATTGCAGCATGAGTTCTCGAGTTCAATCCTCAGCCAGGGAGCTAACCCACATGGCACAACAGACCTCTTTTGTCTTGCTCACTGCTCCCCACTACCTCTGGCAAATCCTCTCAACCCCCATACCTCTCTGGCCTATACCCCAAGACTCTTACATGCATGAATAAATCTTTTTTTTTTTTTTTAAGAGTGCCCTCCCTGGTGACGCAAGGGGTTAAGACAACCTATGAAGCTTGCCACAGCCACTGCAGCATGAGTTCGATCCCCAGCCAGGGAGCTACCCACATGGCACAGCAGTCTTCTCTTGACTCGCTGGCTGCTCCCCACAACAGTGTATTTCAGTCAATCTGCCTATTCTGTTCCCCACTGTCTTGAGGGAATCCTCACCCCCACAAGTCTGGCCTGTACCCCAGTTCTTGTATGTATAAATATATCTTAAAAAAATAAATTAAAAGAAAAAAGCTGAATACAAGAATTAGGAAATCAGACAAAAACCATTAAGTACACAGGATTTGTCCTACATATACATGCCTCGCAACCCTATGTAACTGCTTTTACATTTATTTTCCTACCTAAAGTGTGTGTCAACAGTAAAAAAGGGTAAATTTTTTTTTCTGACAAAGATCTTATGTTAAGAAATATAAAAATGTAACAGCTGACCCAAGCTAAAATATTAGTAACTACAATTTGGCTTCTTGCTTCCAGATTTTACACTTTAGATTGATTACAGCAAAATGTGCTTCCAGTAAGATCAATGGATAAAGTGGTCTCTCTGTCCAACTCACAAGAAAATATTGCTCTAAGTATCCCAATGAAGCATCAAGAAAAATCACAGGTCTCTTCCTTAGCCAGTGGAGTACCAGAAGCAAACCTGAATTCAGCCACAAAAAGACAATTTGCCTAATTTATAAAGCGTGGAAAAATAAACTGAAGTTATCTCCCCAATCTTTGCCAAATAAATTCTTAAGCATTTCCATATACTTCATCTGAAGTATTGTCTGTGGTCAGGAACCTTTTAAAAGAAGCCATCACTTAGAGACTAGAAGAATCAATCAATCACAATAAAAATTTTGGATTTGGCCATGTCTCCAGAAAATTCAGTTACCTCCTGATCAGTCATCCGGAAGCAATTCTTCACATAATTGATGAACTTGGCTTCCACTTTGGGAAGAGAACCTCCCTATTGAGGAAAAAAGCATTAAGAGTAAGTACAGAAATGTTTTTGAGATCATGAAATTCCTCCAAGACAGCATGCTGTTATATGGATTATTGATTCATTCCTTGAATTAAGTGATTTTTAGCCCCAGAAAACCTACTGGGCAAAACAGCATTTAGGTCTTTCATACTAACCCCATGTTGATAGGTCTTGTCAAGGTTTCAAATTCTACCTAACCACTCTGAAAACACAAAGCTACATCTGAGATTCTTCAGGTACTCAAAACATGACCTTCACTGTTTACTAACAATCTACTTTCAAGAAACAATGCAAAAGTGACATCCCTTTAGAATACCACATATACAGACAATATACTGAAATTGTTAAAAAAAATCACTTATATGTTCTAAAGAACCTAGGTCCAACACAATGCAAACCTGCAAGTCAAGGAGGATTATGGAGGTGAATGGGGTGGGGGGATTATGAAATTTCATTCATCTCTTATATAAAATTTGACATTTCCTTCATTATGGACATAGGGGAGAATTCACAATACCTCATGAAATGCCTCAAAACATTACAATTATTGCATTTATTTCTTGAAATATCTACACTTTGGACTTAATAGATCGGGTATAAGATTACTGCTTCTATCACCTAGAATATAAATCTCATTATAATTTCCATTTTAAAATTATTGTCACATACATTTTTGATTCATTCAAAAATTTATTGAGCAGCTAGGGAGATACAATGGTGATTAAAACATGGTGAGGTGATGTAAAGGCACAAGTGAATAGAAAGCATAGTATAAGTTTCACTGAATCACAGCAGTCAATAGGAAGTGCTTTCAGAAATCAAGAGATTGCTTTCAGCCTGAAAGGGGGCATCAGTGGGAGGCAAGTCAGGAAAAGGGATGTAGGGATTGAGATTAAAATAGAAGACTTCAGACTGGGTTGTTGATGATAGTCAGTATGGACTATATTTGTCTCTCCTTTTCCTCTCTCCCCATCTTTGGGCTTAATTTACCAGTAGTGCCCAGGATTGTTCAATGTGCCTGCAATTAAACCAAGGAGATAGGACCATATTAAAACAGGGGGGAGGGGTATCTAAAAGATGTCATTTTAGTGCTATATGCCAAGGAGTAAAAACAGTGATACCAGGAAGATCAAAAGGCTTCCAGTGGTACTATCAAACAGCCTGGTTCTAAAATGTTATTTTTCCAAAGGAGCTATTATTGTAGCCATGTAGAGCCTAGAGCAGAGAAAACTTGTGGAAAGAAGTCAGCAATTTATCATCCCACACTTATTCTGAATAACAGGCATCTACAAATTTTTCATAAAATCAAAGCTTCACAATTGTTTCAAGACATCTAATCTAATTATTACATTCACTAAGAAGTCCAGAGTTCATTCTACCCTAGTCTAAAGTTAAGCAATCAGAAAGAGCAAATCCTATTTAGACAAAAATGAGGCTTATATGTGAACAGCCACTCACAAATCCAGTGTAATACATTACATATAATTACTGGTGATACCTTGGTGTTAACAGGCAAATAGAAATGACTACATTTTAAGAGTATTTTTTAACTACACCACAACCCCACCAGAGTCAAGACCACTTGGATAGTATAAGCTACCAGTTGCTAGCACTGTTATAAAAGACTCATATGCCCCCTGCTGGTTCCACAGTATCTTACAACCAGATCAAGCACAGGGAAACTGTCAATCTCATTTTAACATGTCAGAATCTTATGCTTGCTTTTATTTCTTTTACAATGGAAAATAAATCACGTAACATCAAATAAGAAACTGCCAGATCCTAAATGTAGTGACCAGTCATACATTTTTGAAAAATATTCACACCATGATAGGGACAGATATATACTATTATTAAAAAATGAAAAGCAGCCATATTCCAAATCTCATGAAGTACAATCTAGTTTTAAAAAATATAATTTTACTCACTTTTTCTATACTTGCTTGCATTTTTGCTTTAATGTCTTCTACAGAACTAGGTCCTTTTGGTGTTTTAGGAGTTTTTTCCTGTTTTTTGAAAGATTCTTGACCCTGAGAAAAAAATAAATAGGTCCTAAGAATATAGCTCTTAAGATCCATCCCACCTGGGGCCTCCCTGGTGGCACAGGCAGCTGAGCCCAGCGCTGTGAAGCTGTCCACAGCCTCTGCAGTCCCGGTTTGATCCCGGTTTGGCATCGGAGCAACCCACATGGCGAGCAGACCTCTCCTGTCTCCCCGCTGCTCCCCTCAGCAGTGTATTTCGGTCATTCTGCCTGTTCTGTTTCCCACTGTCTCTGGTGAATCCTCTCACCCTCCCGCACATCTTGGCTGTACCCCGGCTCTTGTGTAAATAAAATAAATCTTTTAAAAAGAGATCCATCCTACCTGGATTTTTCTCAATATTGTTCTCACCACACCTCCTTATAGGAACAAGTATGTATCACAGTGGCTGTTAGAAACTATCTGAACAATTTCTTGTTCTTAAGTCTTATCATAAAAATGCACTAAAAACTGTATGAGCCTAAATTTATAACCACAACTGGGTCAGCCCTACTCTTACAATAACCGATCCATCAAACCAGAAAGCCCCCAAGAATGAAGCAAGAAAGTCATGAAACTTGACACCTGGATTCTACCCCAGAGCACTTATGATCATCTCAGCCAGAGTTCCTGAGGTTATTTTGGTTCCCTAACTTGATTCTATCAGAGTTGAAAACTCCATACACCTTTAAACAAGCCAGATTCCTTACAGGAAACAACTGTTTATTGGCTCCCCCAAACCCCACTGGAAAGCCAGCAGTCATATGTGTCTGTTGGGATGCTGATTAAAAGCACATTTCAGCTCTTTAAAATTAACTGTAGTTAGGTGTTCCCCCAAGGTGTATCAAAGTCCCAGAAAGATGAGGTTCTTCCACAGTGAAAACATTAACTTATCTAGCTACTTCAATGAAGCCTTTGGCCACTTACTTTTGATCTTGGTGTTGATGGTTTTGAGTCTTTTCCATTCTGGTTTGATTTTTGTGCATTTTTGGCTGGAGTATCTCGTATAGACTGCAATTGAAAATTAATCTTAATCAGCGACCTCCCCTGCATAGGCATTTATCAATGTAAGACTGCCCCAAACACTAGGGGCCTCCCTGGTTGGCACAAGGGATTCAGCACAGCAGTAGGAAGCTATACTCAGCCTCTACAGCATGAGTTCAATCCCCAGCCTTCCAGGAAGCAAACCTCTCCTGTCTCACCCACTGCTCCCCTCAGCAGTGTATTTCGGTCAATGTGCCTGTTCAGTTCCCCACTCTGTCTCTAGTGAATCTTCTCACCCCCTCCACTGGCCTGTACCCCGGTTCTTGCATGCATAAATAAATCTTTGAGAAAAAAAGACTGCCCCAGATCATGAAGAAAAGCAGAATAGCTCACTCTCCATATTAGGAGTTTTCAGGACACACCTACTTAAGAAGAATTTTAAAGTTGAGATTACCCCCTCCTCCCAAGCCAACTTTTTTCATTAACTATAAACCAAGGGAACAACACTTTTTAAAAAAGGTGTGCATTTTGCTATTTCCGATAATCCTGCAGCATTATCAAAGCCTAACTTACTTTCTTTACAGGTGCCTTTTCTTCAGCTTCATCATCATCAAAATCATCATCATCATCACTATAAATAAAATAAGTCATTATTTCAGATTCAGTGCATTCACAAACCTGAATAATTTAGAAATTAGGCAAGCCTACAGTTTAGTCAATGAAGACTTCCTAAATTTGAAGGTTTGACTCAAACTGCAGAATCCTAAAGCAATTTTCACATTTATGTTCATGTCATTGCAGCATTACCCACAATAGCTATCAAGGGGTAGTAGAAGCAACCAACTGCCCACCAACAGTTAAATGGATAAAAATGTCATAATCATACAAAATTTAAGGTTCAGTATTAAAAGGAGATCCTGTCATAAGTGGCACATGAATGAACCTTGAGATTATATGATTAAGATAAATATGGTGTTATTTTACATCTGAAAATGAATAAATTGGAAAACATTGAGAATAGCTGAAAGAAATGAAAATGGAGCATCCCTCCCATGGTTCATGGATCGGATATATTAATACAGTGTCAACTCCCAAGGTTATCTACAAGTTCAACAAAATCCTTAAAAGAATCCTAGCTGGATTTGCTGTATTAACTAAAATTCACATAGAAATTCAAGAAACCTAACGTAACTAAAGTAAACTTGAAAAAGAACAATGTTGGAGGATTCAGTGATTTCACACAAAAGGGGCAGAAATCAAGACTGAATTTTACTGGCTTAAGGAGAGATGTACATCAATAGAATGGAACCGAGGAACTGAAAAATAAAAACCCATGTATCGATGGTTTGTCTTTTCAACAAAAGTGCAAATACTTTCAATGTAGGAAAGGTCTTCAACAAATGGTGCTAAGGACAACTACACAGCTACATGCAAAAAGAATGAGGTTGGTCACAAGACCTCACACCATATACAAAAATTCAACCCAGGCCAAAGATCTCTAAATTTGATAAACCCATAAAAATCGCAAGATTTGACAATGGTTTCTTAGGTTTGGCACCAAAACAGAAGAAATTGGACTTCATGAAAACTACAAGTATAAGCCTAAGATACCATGAGGACTAGAGAAACAAAAGTGGAAGACAAATGCTTGCTTTCAAAATATATTTAAAATTTCTTCACAACTTAGTAAAAAGTACAAGCACTGGTACACGCTACAAGAGATTTCAAACACTGTGCTAAGTGAAATGAACCAGTTATAAAAGATATTTTATGATTCCGCTTATATGAAATATCCAAAATAGGCCTAGCTAAGACAGACTACAGTAGTGGTGACCAGAGTTGGATAAGATGGGTTATATGGAAGGATTTTTTGAGGTAATGCAATCTTCTTTTCCATCCAATAGTCTCTAAATACAAAAAGAGTGATTTTACTTATGCACAGCCAAACACTAATCTTTGCAATACTAGGAGGTAAAGTTTGCTGTGTTGATTAGAGCAAATTAATATAAAGTCTTATGTTTTAAGTAACAGATTTTTGTCAATTTTAGCCTTAGAACCCAACCCCTATACGAGTCTTCCAAGTAGTAAGATGATTCTATAAATCCACCAACGCTTCATTGGAATATTCCCTAAATAGGAAAGGGTTATTTTTCAGGGGATTAATCTATAACTTTTAATGTACAAAAGGTCTTCAGCTTTTCCTGCTTACATTAACTAATATCAACTAACCCCATGCCACCATGATCCCCGAAATAGGACCATCAATTTCCCTTTCATTTTGTTGAACTGTCTGTCACCCAAATCTTAGTGAATATGCTTTTAGCACTGTCCTATAAACCTACATAAAGGCTTGGCAACAAAGTTACCAAAGACCAAATAAGTATATCTAATTAATATGCAAATCTAATGAAGCACATTTCATCCATATTTCTCATTTGTTTGAAACCCATTTTCTCTTTTCTTGGAATATATGATTTTAATGGTAAAGTTTCTTAAAGTAGTTAACACTGATAATTTTTGAAGTCTGAAATACAGGCATTTTTATTTTTAAGCCTTTAATTCTCCCGACTGTTCTGCCTTCATTGTTATGCTCAAATAACTTTTCTAAGAACTGCAGTGGAGATTACTGAAAAACCTAAGATACATATTTAAATCATTAAGCGATATTCTCTCAGGCTTTCTCAGGTCTTATTTGACTGTTCATATATATATAGATATATAACGAGCATATGCGCGTGAGAACCATCCTAGGGAACTTAGGGACAATGACCAGGCAGTTAAAATTCCAAGTTAGTGATACTATTGCCTAGAGAAAGGACCAATTATGAACAGCACTTTATTCCAGTATATATGTGTACCATAACCTGATCAAAAAACATCAAACCTTGTTTCCAACCAAATTTTATATTCTGCACGGAAATTTTTCTTAAGTTATTTCATCATTAATAACATGAAAACCAAGGGCCAAACTTTTGTGGGAGAAGTCCTTAGTGACAACTTACCGACCATTTACTCACAATAATTAAGTTGTCCTATTGCCTAATTCCACAGGATCACTTTGGCAAATGATTTTCATGAAAATGCCTCCCTATACAACTGAATTTCTGAGAACAAACTTACTCTTCTTCGTCGTCATCATCATCGTCGTCGTCATCATCATCTTCATCAGCAGCAAGTTTTACTTTTTTCTTTAAAAAACAAAACAAAGCTCATGAGCAAGTGATGATCCTAATCACCGAATTCAAGTTCAGAATAAAATGGCTGTAAGTAATTTAAACCTATACCTGTGGAACCTTGCTACCACCTCCAGGTGCAGAACGCTTCCCAGATATACTCAGGAGTTTCACGTCCTCCTCCTCTTCATCTTCTGATTCTGCATCTTCCTCCACAGCTAAAACAAAAAAAAAATTTTCATTAGTCACCACTAAAACTCAACCAAGAATGCCGGAAAAAAAGGGGTGGTAACATATAGTAATGACTATTTTAAAATCTATAAAAACATTACAAAAGAAATCTTTTAAAAGCAATTTGCGGGTTAATATTAAGTCTTGTATATTTTTTATTTTACTTAATATTTCCAAAATATATTTCAACATACAATTAAATTTATCACTCAAGTGGTTTACATTTTTTGGTAGTCTTTGAAATCTGGTATCTAGGTTGCCCTTAAAAAGTACAATTCAACAAGACCTCATTACTAAATTTTAAATGCAAAGTTTTTCCAGAGTTTTTAATCAGAACCAATTTGAACCTATCAAAGACACGGTATTAGAACTCAGCAAGGAACTGCATCAGAAAAAAAAATTCACACATGAAAGTAACTTATCTACTAAGTGCTGTCCACTAATATGCACAGGCCCTGAACCACACTTCAACAGAGTAACTTACCTACTAAGTGCTGTCCACTAATATGCACAGGCCCTGAACCACACTTCAACCGTAAGACCACAGGTGGTGTGATTTCAAAGCCCCCAAGGGAAACCTGAAAGAGATTTTTAAAATCACTAAATATGAGTTTAAAAAGTTTGTTGTACAAACAACTCACTGACTTACAAATGTATTTATGACATTACAGGCAAACCATAAGAACAAAACCAAATGAACCCCATCAGTTTATAAGTTTTCCATCTCTATAGCAACCATGTTCAAGGTATTTACAATCCAACAACAAAAATGTAGCTTGGACTACTACGAGACAAACAAAATGCACTTTTCCTATCTCCTTGGTATAATCAAATGACACTGGCCTGAATTCCAAAGAATTAGACCTTGACAAACTCCAAAGTATAAGTGTTCCTACCGTTGGCTGTACAGACATTTTCAAAGTTGCAAGTGTTACTTTAATAGGACTGCCTTCATAATTCATTGCTTCTGCTTCAACAATGTGTAGTTCATCCTTTGCACCAGCCCCTAAACTGACCTGTAAACAGAAAAAAATAGTGCTAACTTAAGACCAGCTACTTTCACAATCCACCCAAATTACATATGAAGACATATAAACCTTTCATTACTACCACTAATGTGAAATGATTTTGTAAACAATGTTTCCAAGTTTTATGTGGCTCTGCCAATTAATTTTCATTCAGTAAATCTGATGATCAGTTGTATGTGTCATCACCTATCCTCTACCCACAGTATAGGAGGCTTCTAGTATCTACCAACCACCTACTACAAGCTGCACAGCATGCTACAGGACAGTCTAGTCTCTGTGGGAGACAAAAGATTTATCACTGTCCTAAAGGGTTTTATATAGTGCAATTGAAAAAACTAAAGTATGTAAGGCCAAGTTCAACAGAAATGTACCTGGACTTCTCATGATTACCAGTGACTGGTCAAGATGCCACATTTTATAGCAGTGTGTAAGGTAAACACAATACTTAGTGATTAAAGTAAGTCCTAAATTACATGAATAGGATGCTGAAACACAAATCAAGAAAGGTTATTTTTAAAATTTTAATACCGTTCTTAAAGATAACTGGTGCTCATTTTCATCATTATCCACTTTGAAGTGATAATCTTTGTCAGCCTTTAGTTCACAACCTGTAAGTGAAGAAAAAAAGCAAATTTAACAAACACAAATGTCAGTGCTGCCACCAAAAAGGTAGTTTCCTCTTGCACTAGTTTGTCACTTGTGTGGTTACCTACCAGAGGTTAAGGACAGAATAAGTTCTCCCTAAAATCCTTCAAGTCTATGAAAATCAATTAACACCCACACTGGAGTTTATTCCCTTCTTTTACTATACTATTTCCTCTACGCAATCACCATTTTCAAGTAGAAACAGGCTCAAAGATTTAATAAATCTGTAAATGAATCATCAAGTCCCTGAAACCAATACTAATGTACACTGATAAAATCTCACTAAAAAGGGCAGAATTAATGTTCCTAACCCCTAATTACCAAAGCAGCAAATTATTAAACCTAACACAAATAGCTTGTATTTACAAGAGAAAAACAATGAAAAAGATCTAAAACCGGTTACAGCAATCTGAAGTGCTCTTTTAAGTGACCAAATGACATACATTAAAAATTATGTTTAAAGGCAAGAATATAGACCCTAGGGTTATTTCTAACAAAAATACTTTGATATACACTAACTGGAAACCCCAGTTGTTGAAAAATCTTAAGGTTTTGTTCATGTTCCATACTCATTCCACCGGTAAGGAATTTGTCTTAAATACTGTGAAAATAAAATTTTAATCTGAACGATTCCATATTCTCTATCATTTAATAGCTACTGGAACATAATCAACTAATCTCAGCATGGTATATAAGAAACATATTGGGATAATATTTGCACTTACTTTACAGCCTGGCTGGCAGAAAGAAAAGGCTTCACCAATTAAGTCTACTGAGATTGAAAGCCAAGTATGGTACTGTGTGCATAGGTGTGCGGAGTCCCCCACAAATTTCGGCTCCATGCCGCATAGACGCCGGCCACTAACGCGCCCCCCATCACCTGCCCCAAAAATCATTCCTAAAGCACCTGCGGTAGGTTCTGGGTTTATTTCGTCTGTCTTCCTTAAGCCCATGCTTGGCTAAGCTTCCTGTTCATCAGTTTCAAATGCAAAGTGGGTAAACCCATATACCTCGTGAGACAGAAAAACGTTTCCGAGAACCACGTTCGCGGACGTTAAGCACTGAACAAAGAGCTCCAGAATCAGGAGGCATAAGCCACGTTCACTTAACATTTCCCGCCCTGCGGCTCCCAATAAGCCTCAGGACCCCAGGCTCCTGGGTGACAAGACAGCAGAGACCCGGATGTAACGCCCACACCCCCTCCTTTCACCAACCACGTGGCAACCACGTGCTCCCAGCGGTTGCGGCCTCCCCACGCCGCGCCTCCCCTCCCCCCGTAACCGGCCGAAGCCCCCGGGGTGACTCTCAGACATGAAGCCCGAAGCACCTGGGGCCGAGGTGAGGCTCAATTTCTTCTGTCATTCATAAAAAAGAGGCCATGCCTCACACATGAGCCACACGACCTCCTGCACCACCGATTCTGGACCCCGCATCAAAGACTCGGGCCCGGAATCAAAAACCCGTAACCAGAAGCCTACGAATTCACAAACCCCGGGGGCAAGGAGATAAGATATGCCCCGGGCAACGCTGAACATTCGGCCGGTTCATTCCTCAAGGCCTGGGCCCTGGAAAGCTCACGCCCCGACTCCAGGCCGCGCCTCCCCCCCATCCCTTCGTGCCACCGGTTCTTCCCGCGTGGCTCCCCATCCTTCAGGCCACAGGGCCCGGCAGGTCACGCTCCACCCCCGAGGCCGCCCGCTCACCCCGCTTTCTCTCCAGGCCTCAGCAGGCTCCCCGCCCCCCCACCCCACCCCACCGCACCGCACCGCTATCAGGCCCGGCTCGGCCTTGCTCCGGCCCCCCAGCAGTTACCGAAAAGATAGTTCTGGGGCCTCAGAGGGCTCATGTCCATGTCCATCGAATCTTCCATGGGGTGGTGGCACGCACTTAGGTGGGAGAGAAGGCGGGCGGAGATAAATGACTACTGTTCCGAGGAACAGCCGCGCAGGACGGAATCACACCAGGGAAAGGACGCGGGCTCCCTGCGCACATATATAGCACCCTCAAGATATCGCGAGAACTCGCCAAGTCCCGTCTCCGCGCGCGTTCTCGGGAGCCCCCTCCCCGCACGGTGGCCCTCCCGCGCAAGCGCTCTCCAACCCTACTCTTTTCTACCTCGCCCCCCCACCTCCTCCAGGTACCGCGCGGGCTCCCACCGAGCACGCGCACTCGTAGTCCGGCCCCACCCCTCTGCCCCCGCCGCCAGTGCGCACGCGTATTTCCACGGGTAGCGCGCGCGCCCCCCCCCCCTCCACTCCACGTCCTCTCCGGCTGAGGCGCGCGGGCCACCGGCCAAAAGCTTGCGCAGCCCACCCTGCAAAATGGCGGCGGCGGCTCGCAGCTATGCTAGTTATGAAGTGCAAAGCCGGTTGTAAGCGAGCCGGAGAGCAGCTCCGGTCATCTTTGCCCACTCCCCCGTGTCTCGCAGGCCTCCAGACAGGCATAATAGCCACGTCGATTTCTGACTTGCCTGAAGACCTGGGCTTAGAGTTCATTTTTTTCCCAAAGTTAAAGCTTCAGGTGTCAGAGACTCTGTGGACCACGGATTGTTCTTTGTTGGGGAGAAAAGATGTAGCTGCTGGCCGATTATAGTCAACGGTTTTTTTTTTTAAGGTTTATTTTATTTATACATACAAGAACTGGGGTACAAGTCAGAGGTGTGGGGGGTGTGAGGATTCACCAGAGACAGTGGGGAACAGAACAGGCACATCAACCGGAATACAGCAGACAAGAGAGGTCTGCCGCGCCATGTGGGTAGCTCCCTGGCCAGGGATGGAACTCGTGCTGCAGTGGCTGCTGCAAGCTTCATAGGTTGCGTCTTAACCCCTTGTGCCACCAGGGAGGCCCTCAACCGCTTTTTATAGCTTTGCCCTTTCTGAGGAAACTTACCCAAAGTTAAAATCCCTCATGTTTTATGCCACTTGGGGGCCAAGGAGAGCTGCGTCAGCCTCTTCCATATGAGCAGGGCTGGAACCATGCCTGAGGGACTGACCGAGACAGGTTTCTACTTGTCCACAATATTCCCTACCTAAGGTCCTTCGCAGGCAGATGTGACTGCCCCACATGAAGTAAGGTGCTCGAACGGATGGACTAAAGTGACAGGGTTTTCTAGCTCCAAGTTCAGTACTAACGTCTTTATAAATGTCTGGGAATGTTATGTGGGGGTCCAGTCTCTGAAGCAGGGCAGTTCTTAATCTTTAACGTTCCTAAAGCTGTCCTGACTTGTAAAGCAAGCATATGACATGTAAGAAATACATAAACCTAAATTAGTCTCTTTGGGAGTGAGCCTGGAAATGGGCATCGTAAACTCTGAAGCTACACCTTGACCAAATAAGGACCCCTGCGGCCCCTGGGTCCTAGTGGGTTTTGAGGATCCCCTTAATTATTCCATTACATCAACAGATCAAACAATTTAAAAAGTAATGTGAGGAATTAAAATGTGACAGCAATGCCCTTAACCCCTTTCCTCCCAACACAATCTACTTGATAAAACTAATATGCAGAATCAAAACTATTCTGGGTATTATAATTAATAGGATCAAAACCCTAAATTTGGAGAAATCAATGCAACCAATATGTGAAAGGGGCCAAGTTGTTCCCTACCTTTTCCCCATCACCAACTGAAGACTCTTCACCAGCCCAGTTCTTGGATCTTTAACAGAGTATGACCAATTACTAGCATAAATTCTGAAACTTGGGAGGATCTCTATGTACAGGGGCTGAGAAAAGGGCTGAGAGTACTGTGACTGAGGAGAGTTTGGGGATTTTTTTTTAAAGTTAATTGATTAATGCATATAAGAAGGAGGTGTAAGCTGCAGAGGGGCAGGGGAGTGAGGATTTGCCAGAGAGAGTGGGGAGCAGAATGGGCAGATCTACTGAAGAGGAGCAGCAGGCAAGACAGGAGAGGTCTGCTGTGCCATGTGGGTTAGCTCCCTGGCCAGCTGGGGTTTGAACTGGTGCTGCAGTTTCTGGTGCTCGCTTGAGAGTGCTGTCTTTAAGCCCTGAGCTACCAGGGAGGCCCTAGTTTGGGGAATTAGAAGGAGAATCTGGAGAAGCTCCTAGAGGAGAGAAGGGTTTACTGTGGTTCTTTGAGCCCCTATAAATAAAAGTTGGAACTATTTTGTAATTCCTTCTGAATTCTGAACCATGATTACTCAAATGCAGCTCTGTACAGAGCCTGAGCTACTATGGGAGCCATAGCTAATGTTATATAAGTAAATACATTTATTTTAGTATTTAAAGCACCAAGTCTAGGCATGATCTCATGAAATCAAGCCATTAAAAAAAAGTTACAGTTTTTGGAGTACAAACATAATGAATACTCACTATCTTTTCAATAAATTAAGACTATTTAGGCCTATACAACTGAAAAAGTAATAGTGCCCCTCTTTCCATATCCCCCTTTCTATTTCCTAGGGTTAATCACTGTTAATAGTGTGTAATTATCCTTCTAGATGTTCATAGACATTTGGATTGTTTCCAATCTTGTGCTATTGCAATCAGTAAAGCAAAAAATTGCCTTGTGTGTGCATCCCTTTGTGTCTTTACCGGGTTTGGGTGGCGTTATGTGTCACCTTCCTTCTATGGTTATAATTAGAGTGGTTGACAAGTGGTATTTTCTTATGAAATGTGGTGGGCAGCTGAGAAGCAGCAGCCATTTTGGTTTTTATGCCTGGAAGTTTGGGACAGATATTTCACACACGATGGCTTATGTGCTGGTTTTCTCATCTGGCCGAGGACTAAATCCAGGTTCTGCCTTCCCTTGCATCCTCATTCTGTTTCTACAACACTTACGCCTTGTGTTCTCTAGCTCACCACCTTCTGTAGGATACCCAGTTCATCTAAGCTGGTGGCAGTGAGAACTGGCACAAGTTTTGGTTTGTCCTGCGTTTCTTTTCATCTCATGATGGTTGGCTTACCCTTGTACTGTTTTTACATCTGTGTTTTCTCAGTGTTTGTCCTGCACACTTCAAGTTGCAGTATCCCTCATGAAGACAAAGCCTCATAGACACTTCTAACCAGCTCCCACAATACATATGATTTTTGTATTGTGTACAAGTGATTCCCTTTGTATGAAAAATGAAATTTTGCATTCTTGCCATCATAGTATCATCTAGAAATAAGTTGTCAAGCTTTTGCATCTTTGTCAACCTTATACATAACTAATATCTTATTGTAGATTTAATTTATGTTAATCTTATACCCTATTTTATTTAACCACTTCTTGTTGGACATTTGGGTTATTTTTAATTTTTAAAAATTTTTACTTTTGTTATATAATGATAAACATCCTCAAACTTACATGTATACTTGAAAGTTAATCCAGGTCAATTCCATTACTTTGTTTTATTGCTTTGTTTTTTAAAGAATGGATTGTATACAGTAAACTTCGCCTTTTTGATAGTAAAACTCTGCAAATTTTGACAAATGCAGACAGTTGTGTAAATACAAGATAAGAATAATTCCATCACCACAAAAAATCCTCCAGGCCTCTTTGTAGAAAAACTCTCTCCTTACCTCCTGCCCCTGACAATCACTAATATGTTTTATTCTTGCTATAGTCTCATCTTTTCTAAATTGTCATCTAAGTGGAATCATATAGCACTTTTGGGGCTGGCTTCTTTCACTTAACATAATGAATTTGATATTCATTTATGTATGAGTAGTTCTTTTTTTTTTTTTTTTTTTGGCTAGGTAGTATTCTATGTATTACCACAGTTTATTCATCAGATAAAGGATATATGAATTTTTCCAGTTTTTTTTTTAAACAGAATTATTTATTTATACAAGAACTGGGGTACAGGCCAGAAGCACTGGAGGGTGAGAGAATTCACCAGAGACAGAGCGGGGCGCAGCACTGGCAGATGGACCGAAGATACTGCTGAGGAGAGCAGAGGGCAAGACAGAAGAGGTCTGCCATGCCATGTGGGTTTCGCCCTGGCCAGCTGGGAATCGAACCCATGCTGCAGAGGCTGCGGACAGCTTCACAGCACTGCGCTCAACCTGCTGTGCCACCGGGGAGGCCCGAATTTTTCCTGTTTTAAGAAAGAAAGCCCCTTTAAGAAAGAAAGTCCCTGTTAAAAAGAAAGCTCCTGCTTTCTATGTAAATATAAGTTTAATTAAAACTTGAGATTTCAGGGCCTCGCCTGGTGGTGCAGCAGTTGAGCGCTGGGTTGCGAGGCTGCCCTCAGCCTCTACAGCACCAGTTCTATCCCTGGCCACCCGCGAGGGTCCCACCAAAAAAAAAAAAACCTTGAGGTTTCAGAAGTGGGATTACTGGATCATGTGGTAAATGCATATTTAGCTTTATAGGAAACCACCTGACTTTTTCTAAATGGCTGTACCAGTTTATTTTTCTACTACCAATGTTTGAGTGTACTAGTTGCTTCTCAAAGTTGCTACACCAGTTCTTCATTTATATTTACTGAGTTATAATTGATATCAATATATTTACACATGTTAAAAAATATACAAAAAATGGATTTCATTAAAAATGTTTCAGTGTGGGCCTCCCTGGTGGCGCAGGTGGTTGAGCACCGAACAGTGAAGCTATCTGCAGCCTCTGCAGTGCAGGTTCTATTCCTGCCAGCCGGCAAGAATCCCACATGGCGAAGCAGACCTCTCCTGTCTCGCCCACTACTCCCCTCAGCAGTATATTTCTTCAGTCTGCCAGTTCTGTTCCCCACTCTGTCTCTGGTGAATCCTCTCACCCTCTTGCACATCTGGCCTGTACCCTGGTTCTTGTATAAAAATAAATAAATCTTTAAAAGAAAATGTTTGTCTACAAGCTGATCAGTTCTAACCTATATAGATACCCTTGAAATCATTAGCACAATCAAGAAAATAAACTTTTCCTTTGCACCAAGAACTTCCTTATGCCTCTTTGTTATATCTTTTTATGATCCCTCCTCACTATTCTTTCCAGTTCCCCAGGCAATGACTATTCTGTTTTCTATCCTATAGATTAGTCTCATTTTCTAGAATTTTATATAAGTGGAATCATAA